ATCTGCGACAACTTGGATGGACCTAGCGAATATTATGCTAAGTGAAATAGTCAGACTGAGAAAGACAAATACCATATGATCTCACTTATATATGGAATCTAAAGAATAAAATAAATGAACAAACAAAACAGAAAGAGACTCACAGATACACAGAACAAACTAATGGTTGTCAGAGGGAAGGGAGTTTGGGGAGCTAGGTTAAAAAGGTAAAGGGATTAATAAATATGAATTGGTAGTTACAAAATAGTGACAAGGATGTGAAGAACAGCATAGAGAATATAGTCAATGTTGCAACAACTATGTATAGTGCCAGGTGGGTACTAGACTAATTGGGGGGATCACTGCACAAACTATATACATGTCTAACCACTATGCTGTACACCTGAAATTAATACAAAATAATATTGAATGTCAACTGTAACAAAAAAAAAAAAAAGAAAAAAAGAAAGATTATATAAGAAACAAACCAACCAATCAAAGGCTAGGTCTTATAGGGACTAGTAAATTTCAGTCAATGAGACTTCTGGATTTTGTTCTAGGCATTATAGGAAGCCTAGAGTGTTTTGAGCAGGGTAATAGACATAATTTTTGTTTTCAAAAATCACTTTGGCCTTTATGTGATGACTAGATTACAGGGGCAGCAAGAGTAAAAGGCTGTACTGTAATTCCGGTTTGCCTCCACATTACTAAATAACCTAATTCCGTAGTACTCCAATTCTCTCACTGTTATGTGTATATTTAACCAACCTGACTCCTTTTCTTTTCCCTGTTTCTTATCTGGCTTACGAGTCTTCAGCCAGGCTTTTATGTTAATCCAGCTTTAGCTACTTCTCCAATTGTAAGTAGGCAAAGGCAGCACTAGCTTCCAGAAGGAGAACAGTCTCTATTCCAGGGTTTCTTAGAAGAAATGGGTGAGGGGAAATGGAAGTAACAGAAGACCTGTGCCCAGGTGCTTCCTAAGCCTACTGTACAGACATAACATACTCTTTTGTAGTCAGCATTAGCACATTCTACCAAAAGCTGAATTCTAGGAGTTAAAGAGCTCGAAGGGAGCAAGAAACTAACCTTCTGTGTCTGTAGCACTGTTGATAACATTAGACAGTTTGGTTTTCAAGCTTGTGTATGTCATGGTGTTTTTCACATCACTTTCATAACGTCCAGTGCCTAGGGACACGATGCACTCTAATGGGACATCTGGCCAAAGGCATTTACACTCGTGCATTGCTAATGCTGAAGGATTATTCAGAAGCAAACCTCCATCCTGCAAAATATAAGTCAAGAAAATACAATACACAACTCTTCAAAGTGAAATTTTATCTTATAAATATGAATACAATTATATTTTAAACAGTTTGAAATTTACTCACAGGGAAAGCTGAACTACATAATAAATTCAACAACAAATAA